GGAAGATGTGTCGTGCTATAGCAGCTGCTTCTAAAACCCAGTAAATGAGGTAATGTGCCGAACTTCATCTGAAACCAAACCATCCTTTGTTCCCCTGGATGATGACATTAAATAGGACAGAAATGGCTACCTGCACTAGGAGTGTTCAAAGACTAACCTTTTTTCTTTGCCATTAAAATATAAATTCAATTAGTTACTTCCATGCTTAAACAGAACTGCCGCTGCTGAAACTGTACTCTAGCGATAATTGCAATCCAAGAGTGATCTAATTATATACAAGTCTCAGTGGCTGCATTCCCACGTTGCTTCCTACAACCCGGATTCACTACAATACAATTCATAAGTGAAAACCACATCGTTTTCATTCATTCTCCCTTAAGACTGCATGACTTTATATACGTTTAATGAGAACAGAGTTAGTCTATTAGTAAGCTTACTATAAAAATGCGAGTTTCTACCTACTGTTAAATACAAAAGAATAGAAAGGCACTTCAGCTGCATGTAAAAAAAACAGCTGATGGGCTAAACTGTACAAGGGAAAGAACATTCTTTTAATTAAGGTACTGGATTAGGATTCAAGTACCAGCTTTACTTTTTTGGCTCTGCCACCAGCTTCCTGTGTGACCCAGGGCAAGAAATTTCATCGCTCCGCAGCTCCGTTTTTCATCTACAAAATGGACAGTGACATTTCCTTCTCCGCATTTCGGTCGTAAGCAATTACTGTGCGCTGGCACGTTGCCTTGGACAATAAGTATCCAATATTAATTGAAGCCTCTGGGTAGTACTCCCATAAAAAGCCAAAACCGACGCGTCTCTTTTCACGGGATCCCACCGGAGTTTTGTATCGCCACCATTTGCCGCTACTGCAATCCAGCCCGTTGGTACTCCTGAGCAAAGCCCCGCACGCGGCCTGCTGAAGTCCGTGTTTTGAAATGGAGGAGGAGGAGAGAGGAAAAAGCAGTCGATTGGGGCATCCCGAACATTTAAAGAATAGTTTTGTCCAACCCAGAATATCCTGGACAATTCCCTGCTAACACCATCAACGTGCACAACACAGAGGGGCTGCCAACGACTCACCGCTTTTTGCTCCAGTATTTTCTACTCCCATTGTAAAAAATTCAGTGCGATGGTTTTGCCAGGTTTGTAAATTTGAATTAGACCATCTAAGCCCAGTTGACTATTTTAAGAGGGTTCTTGTAAGTAATTACAAGGTAAAAACGAGAATACTTCACACCTACATTCTGACTGAAAACTACTCAGCTCTGCTGGCTCCAGGCTTTTAATTGTCAAAAGAGTTCAAGGTTTGGAAAGTTATTGGCATCAAGTAATACTGGATATTCCTAACTAGCATTGTGTCATTCTTTGGCACGATTTTTGCTGGGATACCTCCCAAATCTGTGACATAATCAGAGGGTTCTCTACATTACACCATATAGTCAGATGCTCATGTTAGTGTAATATGTTACCATGTTTAATACCATTTGCTATTACTTACACTTAATCAACTCTGGAACCAGTTAAACCATATAGGAAAAGTAATTTTAGAGGCTTTCAACTGACAGTTTTCCACACACAACTTTACCTAAAATTACAACCTGAAGTTTTTAAGATGCGGTCTACAAACGCAATTGCCTCTAAACAAACATCCATAACACTGTGGGAGCCGAAAATTCATATGAAAACGGGGGGGAGGAGGGGGGGGGAGGCACAAGATTAACTTCTGTAGAACTGTCTCAACTAGAAAAACTGTCAGAGTTTCCCCTTCTGGCCAGCCTTAATTTACTGTTTCAGCAATTTTATGCCCAACCTCCACGATCATTCCAAGCTTTCAGCAACACAGAAATGGCTGAGCTCTCTAATATCAATCCCCCTTTCGGATTAAAGTCCTAATGCAGTATCTCTTGAGAGACTCACACTAAATCCAACACAGATATCCTAAGGTGTGCGTTCCCATACGTATGTTTTCAAAGTAAACTAACAATTACAGCCTTTAACTCGTCAAATTAAAGGAAGTAAAATGATTAAGTAGACAGAACTGCAAGATGCAGACTGGGATTTGCAGAAGTCACTTTTGGACTTCTGGTTTGCTATTCTCACAGGGTCTGAGCATCAGAAAATGCTGAATATTCACCCAGGGAAAATCAGGGCTCCTTTGGGTGCCATCAGCTGGGTACCCAGCACCCCAAATTCCTAGTCACTTTTGAAAAACCTCATTATTTACTTTTCTGCCTCTCTGTAGGAAAGGAATAGACATTTAAATAAATGACATAATCCTTATTACCATTCCATTCATTCATGCAGGTCACTATAATTTACTGCTAGGAAAAATAAACTTCTGCATAATATTCCTCGATGTAAGACATTCAAAAGGCTCAAAGGGGGAGAGGAGGTGAGAGGGCTTCTGACAAATATTTGTTCAAGTGACCGCCTCATCCATGAACACATTTGCTAGAAAAAATGGCTGAAGAAATTTATGGTCAACACGAAACATGCCAGACTGGGACTGGGGCACTAACGAGGAAAAGGAGCAGGGACAGAGAAGGGAAGGGGAATTTTTAACCATTTTTGTTTCAGCAAGAAAAACTCCCAGTGTTGCAAAAGTAGCTTTTCATAGGCTACATGGGAGGGAAAAAACAGTTTTAAGCAAAACCAAAGTTGAATCAATCTAGGCTCCCTAAAGGATTAAGAGAAAAAAAAATCCAAAACCAAAAAAAACTCCAGAAATCCCATGACTCGTCATCCCCTTATGTTCTTCCTGGGCCAGGCTCTGTAAGTCGAGCCTCGTCCCTGGCGAGCCCACACGAGCATCCCATGCCCTTCGGCGAGGTGGTCAGCAGAGGACCAAGGCATGCAGAACACAATTTACTGCCATCTCTGGCAGCCGTTCCGTCGCTGCTGCACCCTCCATAAACTTTGCTTAACCAAGTGTTCAAATAAAAATGGTTTTGCCAGTCACTCGGTTCACCTCAACAATACCCATAGCTCACTCTACCAAGGATGACAAAAATATCGCCGAGGCTATAAAAATCCTCACTGCTTTCAGTGTTGGCTACCTAAAACCAAGTAGAGGTGAGCCAGGTGGATCGCAGACTGGCTTTGAAGACTTAACTGTATAGGGACTGGTGGCAGAGCTTCAGTCTGACAGCATCCCCACCACAAAATCCTCTTCTTCCTCCTCTGCCCCGCAAAAGCTAGCTCTCACTGGCATGTTCATGGGGAATGTTTTCATTTCTTGCTGCCTGAGAAGGTGGCACTTGTTTTGCTTTGGATTCTGGGAGTTTCCGTGGATTTAAGTGGTCCCAAACAAAATAAGATGCTACTTTTAAAGAGCATCCAAAACAATGTGAGAGATGGGTTTTTATTCATGTAAAAAACAATCAATAAATAAGGAAATGAAAATGTTGTCGCTGTTTTGGTCATATAAATCCAAACTGACGGCAAGATTCTCCACATAAGATAAGTCGGCCTGTCAGTCACCAGCCAAAAATAGCTTAGGACAATCAAATTCATTTTTGCTTTCAATATTGATTGATCAAAAGTTTTACTCACTGAGCTTGTGACACTCGGATCACCTCAGAAGCCCGGAGAGAGCAAAGCCCATTCAAGACATACTTCAGAAACTGCAGCTCAGATCCCCAAAGGTACTACCAGCAGGTCCAGTTATAACAGCCAAAGTGATTAGGGCTACGAAGATGATGAGGGGACTGAAACACCTTTCTTATGAGGAAAGACTGAGGGACTCGGGTCTTTTTGGTCTGGAGAAGAGAAGACTGAGGGGGGATCTTACCAACGCTTATAAATACTCAAAGGGAGGTGCCAGGGGGATGGGAACAGTCTGTTTTCAGTGGTGCCCAGTGACAGGACAAGAGGTAATGGGCACAAACTTGACCATAGGAAGTTCCACCTCAACATTAGGAGGGACTTCTCTGCTGTGAGGGTGGCAGAGCAGTGGCACGGGCTGCCCAGAGAGGTGGGGGAGTCTCCCCCTCTGGAGCCATTCCAAACCCGCCTGGACGCTGTCCTGTGCCACTGCTGGAGGTGCCCCTGCTCTGGCGGGGGGGTGGGCATGATGATCTCCAGAGGTCCCTTCCAACCTTGACCATTCTATGATTACTTTTGGACAGCAATACCTTCAGAGTCAATAAAATTGCTCACACCCATCCAGGGTAATCAGCAAGAGTAGGGGTGAATGGAATTGGTTGCTGAGATTTCAAGCCCTAATTTAGCAAGACACTTAAATAAATACACGTAAGTCTTATTAAAGTCAACAGGATGTTGGTATTATTAAGTTAAGATTACTAAGCATGTACTTAATAGTCCTGCTGAAAAATCACAGCTTTGCTACTACTAAGAATTCACACGGTGTTTAGAATTTGTCCTCACATAAAATACTTCTTCACAATTTTTGTCATCTGTGTTTCAGGGACTGTTTCAGAGCCCACACAACAGGCTACGGTCAGATACCTGTTATACTACTGTGAAAGCAAAGTACCTTTCCTGGAAGCTCCAGACCTCCACTAGCTTCAAAGTCAATAACTAGCTTTTCATTTAAAAAAAAAAAAAAAAATCATTTCAGCTATAATAACGGCAATCTAAAGGATCACTTGACAGCTTTCATAACTGCAGTTATTAAAATTTGTGGCAGTACAATTGTACAAGTAATAATTAAATTGTAATACTAATGATTAAAATTGCATCAGTATTTATTATTTGTTCTGCACAGTAAGCTTGTAGGTGTATCACAGCAACAAGAACTCACTTGCACCCATGGGTATTACACCTTTGCCAAGGCATGGGTAGATTAGACCTGCAGACACAAGTCAGACAGATGAATATATAAAGTTACGTAGCAATTGGTTATGTAATGAAATCTTATCTTTAGACTACCGTGAAATCCTCTTCAAAATTAAGGCAAAACGTATCAGCTTAGTTCTAAATGTTTCAATAGAGAAACTCATTAATTAAAAACGTTGTCTGACATGCGACAGAGTTTTACTTACCAACAACGTCGAGATGGTACGTGTGATTGATGGAGCCGTACTGGTTTTCCACTATGCACGTATAGTTTCCTTTGTCAGACGGGACCACGCTCTCCATGATGAGACTCCAGTGCTGGTTGCGGACCTGGCGGATGGTAACCAGAGAGGTTGGGAACTTCCCTAGCACAGTTTCACCCTCCAAAAGAGCTGTTTTCTGAATAGTTAACCTTTTGTAATCCACGTTTAAAAGCCTCTTCTGCACTCAATTGACAGTTCTGGACACTGAAATACTTTATTTATGCCCGATGCAGAACAGCAGGGCTGCAGCAGCAAAAGCTTTCAGGCATGCTGCTATAAATTTTCCTCGTCCACAACCTGAGCACTGCAGAAGTCAGTGCACACTCGGTCCTACCAGGCTATGAGGATGGCACCAATCAGCAGCAGTTGTCTTACCAGGCTTTACCTCTCAATCCACTCTAAAGCAAATTCGCGCCCTCAGGATATTTCCCATCTGTCTCCAAACAATCAGCTGATAATATTAACTACCCACCAGCAATATGGGGTGGATATGATCCCCTAACATCTAAGTCGCCGTTCTTCTCTAATAGCTCAATTACACAGCCCGCGTTTTGGAAAAACAAAGCAGATGAGGGCAACATTTGGGATCCCTCCCACAGATAACACAGAGCGGCCACATCTCCTGCTGCTCTGGGGCACCACGGGACGGAAACGAAGATGCTGCCTCATGAAAAACGCCTGAAGAAAATCCTCACGGAAACAGTGCGTGAGGATAAACATTTATTTCCTACAATCCTTGTCGGACAGAATGTATTAAAGGTGCTGATTCTGTTCCCATTTGAACTCAAAAGGAGCGTTGGCATTGGTCTTGCAGAAAATAGGATCCAGCCCAAGACTGGAAGGATATAGAGTCATCCGGTACACATATATATTTCCTGCATCATAAGTTGGCTCCCAAAATGACCTTTTGCTGGCTATCCACTAATCCCTTGTTTTAGCATTACATTTTTGACAAAGCGCTCAAAGATCTTAACATTATGTGGCTGTAAGGTACAACTTTTAAACTGCAAAGTACGTATTTTAGCAAATGGAACAAAAACACAATCTGGTACAGTCATTTTAATCAGCCAAATGGAAAGTAGTAATTCAGTGCAGTGCACCAGAGTAATTGATGGACCATTCAGTGACACTTCCAGTAACTACACATTCTTAAAAGACCATTACAACTTCAGGTCTGAAATCCTGCTTCGTGCCTGACTGGTGCGTAGGTCCTTATCCAGCGGGAAAAGGCTGCGCGGGGCTGCGGCGCCGCTGCCAAGAGCTTAGCGCTCACACTTGCTGGAGGTAAAAATGCCGTCAGTTCACAGCTCAGAAGACAAGAGCCCTTTCTGTAAGGGGCTCCTGGCTTTCCTAGCTCCCCCAGCTAGCAATTAGCTCATTAGGCAGATATTACTATTACTGTCCAGTTACAGGGCTAATAGTATTAGCTAACAACTGGTCATGCGGGCTTTGAAGAATAAAGAAAACGTAGACGAGACTCCAGCAGCAGGTGAAGCGCATGGATGCTAACCAAATGTCACAGAACTCCGTGATAACGTGACCCCAAAATCTCCAGCCCAAACTTACAGCTCATCTCCCCAGCCCTCCCCTCTTGATGGTATACATTAAAGCTATATATTGGGTTGGGGTTTTTTTTCACACTATGAAGAGATAAGAAATAAGTTTTTGAAGCTAGAAAAGAGTTTATCAGGGTTATTTTATTGTCTCGTTATTCTGCTAAGCAACCTTGAAAGGCAGAGTTTGGGTCAGGAAGAATTACTGTCATAGACCACTGATAAATAACAAATACAGCAGCTACATATTTTGAATATTTTACTTCTTTATGAGCTCCTTTGCGGGAGACTTGGTCAAAGTGACCTGACTTTTTGCCATTGCAAGTTACATCACGCTTCTGAGAATCGGAGCAAGTGTTTTTAACCGAGCTGACTGCACAACAGGAAGAGCAGATCATGGTTCTGCGGAAGTTAAAACAAAATAAAAACTGCTAACAAGCTGCAAGTAATTAATTTGCTAGGAAAACACAAGAGATTGCTTAGCATTCAATAAGAAAACATAACTAACTTACAGCCACAAGTGGATGGCAATATTAAAAAGTATTTGTGCAATTTCCCTTCTTGTAACTCCAATGAGAAGAGATAATATCTTTATAATAAAACAACAGCTTAAGCCTCTTCACTGTAAGCTAAACAACTGCTATAGAGGCCCAAAGCATTTATGACACATCGTCACACAACGGGATTTATGTCATGGATCTGGATTCAACTAGATTCAGCTTGTTGGCTTGGTGCTTTCTGGTTACAAGGGCAGCGTTGCACAGCCCAGAAACGCTCCCCTTTGCCAGGGATGACGGCATCTTCTGCTGAAGACTCCCAAATTGAACCTTTCATTCTCAGACCCACGACAGTCCTGCCACGTCGCTGTAACCATGCGGCTTGCAACACCCTGATCGGACAGGCTCTGGTAACGTGGCCTTTGAGTAATGCGACATCACTTCCTAGTCCCAGTAAAGCCGGGCTTTGGGCAGGAAAACTGGTGCCATTACTGACAACCAGCACCAACGTCACACCAGTTCATGTAGAAGTTAGTTTCAGGAGAGGTTCAAAGCAGTGCTTCCACAGTACACAGGTCCTACACCAGCCTTCTGCGTAGGGATGGACTACAACAGTGAGAGGTATTTTGGGGGGAAGACAAAAAAAAAAAAAGAAAAAAACAAACCAAACAAAAACCCCACCCTTGTGCAAATAGATGGTCTCTTTGGCAATGCAGATTAAAGCCATTAGCTCTGTGGGTGCTCACCAGGGCCCTTCTAACTGAAGATACCAGTCCTACAGCTCTCCAAATATTCCCTAATAAATTTCCCTGGGTAAGACCAACCGAGTCCATTTAAGCTGTTTAAATAGATGGCTTGAGCCCGTCTGGCAGACAGAACATATCAGGGAGCTCATGTGAACTAATCCACTAGGAAAAGACACGAGGGAAGCAACAAGCCACTGAAAGCAGGAGCATCCTCACCAGACACATGGGGTCCAGCAAAGGACAAGCATCCACAGCCAGAGATTTATCAGTTGTAGGAAACTTCCAGCTCTCCAACCTGACTAGCTCCTTGCCAGCTATTATCCTGTTACTTCTACTATTTTGTTCCCTGAAGCCCTACTTCGTATTGAGTTCTTTTAAAATCCTGGAGAATACCCACACAGTCCCACCCACTTCCATCACCTGGTCTTCAGGGTACCACTTCCAATTTGCCATTGCCTTTTCTTGACATAGGGAAATTCAGGGAACAACTGCATTCCGAGTATCCCGATTAATAGCTTGACCTTTCAATACCCTTTGTGGACACAGTTTAACTGGTTTTGCCCCCCCTCCCCCCCCTTTTTTTTTTTAATTACTTTGCAATACCTATTTTCATGTTTTGTCTGTGCTTCGTACCCAAAAATAGTACTTTATTGAGATAATAAATATAAACTCAACATGTTTTTTTTCCTGCCAGGTATAGACACTTCTAACAAATTACCGAGGTCCTTTTTTTGGCAATCTTCTCCATCAATTTTTTAACCAATTCTTCCAAACAATCTCTCCAAACAATTCCATTTTTAAACAAAATTATCAATACCAACTGCATACAACTGTAGCTTTAGGATATAGCTTGCAGGTGGGAAACCTAAACTGGAATCAAAATGCCAAAAAATATTGGTCAGAAATCTAGGAAAGGGCAAGCTGTGTTTCACAGAAATGTTTTGCTTTTGGAGTATCATATAAAAAAAATTGTGGACCGTTCTGTTTAATTTTAATATACATGTCTTCAGTGAACAGAGACATCGTGAAAAGCTGTCACTTAGCAAAAAATGGTAAAAAGGAGTCAGTTTTAAATGAATTTCAAAAGAGGGATTAGAAACCAAGAATATGATTCCCCCAAAATCAGCCCAGTTCAGACGTATACTGGTACTGCTCAGGCAGAGAGAACAAGTGCAGAGCACGCATGCAAAAGCTATAGATTTTTACAGTTCCTATGGAGTCAGAACTCTTTCTTTACTCTGTATTTACCCAGCTGAATTTAAATGCGTATAAGATGACTGTAGTGATGAAGCTTATCAAAATGCATGTGAAAACACATACCTGTTAATACTTAAACAGTAACGACTGATAGAAGTACATTTGCTTTCCGGGTGGTACAGAAAAGTAAAGGCTCCTGTGGCGTCTCATAGAGGATTTAGATTACTCACACAAAGAAATTATAAAATGCCTTTAAATACACAAGCAAGAGCTATCATCACTTTAGAGAAAAATTAAAAAAAAAAAAGAGACCAAAAAGGGTTTAGCCATTCAATAACTGATCCCTTTCTCCTTGCTGTAGGAACTTCAGGTATACCTTGAAAAATCATAATAAGGTTCAATTTTGAAATTCACCACCCCGAATTAGTCACGGTGGAGGAATTTTTGCTCTGGAAGCTATCTTGACCAGCACATACACCCTTCTGCTAGCCTGCCTGAGTGCAAATTGACTCAAGACATTCCGCAGACAGCGGGACAAAGTGCTCAAGCCACTATCTGATTGCGATAAAGAGAACACAAAGAAGAGATTTCTTAGCTCAAAGCAGCAGGAGAGAGGTGGCTGGAGGATTACTGGAAAACTTCACATTTTCCTTCCCTTTACTTTGTTCTTAAAGTCTTCAAGGGACGATTGCCTCTTCCGAAAGGGATGGATGGTGTTAGATCAACTGGTGAGGGCAAATACGGTCAAGTTTGGTTCCAGCTATTCTAGTCACTCCAAGTACTATGAATATAAAGATCTCAGGCAGAAACACTTTACGTATAGCAACACCCAGATTCAAGACAAGCTAGTGTACCACAACTATCACGAGTAACTGTGATATCTGGCTGAAGACAGACCAACATGGGAAGACTTAGTCCTTTCTGAGGATTCCTTCGTTACAAGTTTGTTGGTATGAAGGTGTCAAAAAACCACAATTCTCTTTATTCCAGAATAATTTTGAACTAAGCCCGCAGTGACCTCATCCTGCCTCTCTAACAAGAGGACCTAGCCTCCAGAAGCTCTGGAGACCTCATTCTTTAATACCTGTTCGCTAAAAACAAGCTTTCCACCTTAAAAAGATGGTTATTCAAAACACCGACAGAATCTGGAATATACATAGCTTTGATAAGCAGAATGACAATGATGAGTAAATGCTTCCAGATCATTCAAAATTTGATGTATTTCTGAGCAACGAGAAAGTCTAAAATCCACGGCTGTATCCCCTCTTATTTTCCTTTAGACTAAAGAGATGTAAGAGGTTATGATTTAGAATTACAGGCATGTACTTCGCTTATCCAGCTGGCTTTAGAAATAGACATCTGCGGTTTCTTCCCAGAGCACGTACATACCTAAGAAACTGTATACATTTAATAGACATGAGCAAAAATTTAATTTGTGCCACTTAATGGGCACGAGTCTAAATGAGCTCGCCCAGATGCCTAGCGCAGGCCAGCAGTGGCAGCACGGAGCCCTGCATGGGCCGATTCCCCCCGTCACAGCTCACCCTCCCAAACCAGAGACCAGGTATCTCCATCCTGCCTCGCAAAACACACAGTTTCCTTCACGGTTTTCAAGAGTGATATCTGCATTTCCCCTTCATGAGATGTGAAGTGTTGAAATAACGTCTCAGTTAATATCAAAACAGTCGCTATTATTTTCCAAGACAGAATTAGTTTGTGGGGTTTTTTTTAATTGGCTTTTTTTTTTTTCTTTTAAATAAGCACTGAAAAAGGTGAAAATCACAGAACTGGAGCCAATTTGTTAACACTCCACAGCATTATGAAAGGCAGGAGGTGTTGCCAGGTGTACACTCATAAGCAACAGTAATTTATGGTATAAGCAAACATAGATGGAAAAGTCTACTTAGATAATTAGTGTTCATGCGGGGAGATTTTCTGGGCTTCACTCCCTGCTAACACAAATGTTGGAAAAACTGACACTTTCTAACAGTAAATCCAGCTAGAGAGGAAAGGAGACTGTGGCTTGTCCTCCTCTGCACTGGAAAACATACTTTTTGGTACCAAGCAGGATCTGAGTCAACAGCCCTCGAAGCAACATACACCCTGGCTCCATCAGGGCATCGCAAAACACCGCACCCCAAAAATACCACAGTCGCTGGGGTAAAACAGAGGCACAGCACCGGGGGAGGCAGCCCCCAGGACTCGCTCTTGAGCTTAGTGTGTCGTCTGGAAACGCCAGTTAACTTCTGTCTTCGTTACCATTACAAATTGTTCTGAGCCCCTCAGCAGAAGTTCTAGGCTGGGGCTTACGCCCATGACACGACATGACAACTTGGGAAACTTTTCCAAAACATTTTGGGATAGAAGTTGCCGAGGCATCGGGTAGGCGAGGAAACCACTGACAGAAGGTCCGCAGAAGAGGTTAAGGTAACTCAGGATGGCAAAGGCAGCGCTCGAACTGCAATTTGCCATCAAAGTCACGCACTCCCATTCCCAGTGAGGAGCGGGATAAGATGACCGAACCCTGACTTCTGACCTGACCTAGGCAGATACCGGGAGGTTAAAGGTCCGTGCACTAACCCCCACAGCGAGCTGCCTCCCTAAAACTCTCTCTTAATCAGTAACCACCAATTTGGAATGAAACATCTAATCTGAAGCTGTTTAAAATTCAAACAAACCCTTGTAAGTAATTGCTGTTACTTTCCCTCAAATTCTGCTTCCCATTTCAGTTTCACAGACCATAAACTCCATAGAAAATAATAACTTTTGACTTCCAACCCTTCCTTTATTAAACTGTCTACAGTCACCAGCGTGGATGGCCACGTTTTTAACAATACAGCTGAAAATGAATAGAGCAAAACAGTCTTACTCTGCCGTGCAAAGTCAGTTTTAGCTTTCCAAATAAGTCTCTATAAATAATCCTTAGCTGCACTGCTATGCTACAAGCTTGAATTTGAGGGGAAAAAAAATATAGAATTAGTGCTTGGTAACCGCCAAAGAAACCACCCACCCTTCCCCAGAAGAAAACAATTACTTTTTTTTTTTTTTCCACTTCCATATTTGATCCAAGGCCACTAAAAGATTTTTTGTTGACTTCAACAAGTTGGTGTTCTTACAGCCTTGGTCCAGAACAGAAATTGCAAAATCACATCATGACAACTTACCTTATATCCACCAATACGATG